TATTCACGAACGGCTCGTACGCCGAGGCGGCGAAAGTGGCGGCGAATGCGCCCAAAGGTATACTCCGAACGCCACAAACCATCCAACGCTTCCAACAGGTGCCCACTCAGGCCGGACAGACGTCCCCTCTGTTGCAGTACCTCTCATCGAACTGTTCGAGTCGTTTAAGTCATACGAAAGGCTCTTCTACTTCTTGGGCTCTATCGTCAACTTCAGTCAAGACCCGGACTGGAGGCGCCGGCGCGCCTCCTACGAGCGGTCGCGCACCGACTGCGGAAACCGACAGCCCGAACGACGAAACCGAAGTCGTGGACAACGAGGAAACCGATAGCGCGGATGAGGGACCCGATGACGACTACAACGACGAGAAGCCCAAGAATTAAGGGCCAAATAATTGAACTAATGTTTCGTTTATTATTCATATAATTATTTCATTTATGTTTCATTTAAACATTATTCTTATCATAAGTTCTCAATAATTATGAGCCAAAAGGCATTTTCAATGTTTAACAGTAATTTTAATCATTTGTTTAACGTTTTCGCAGTTTTTATACTTAATCGCAATACGAGAGCCTTAGGGCATGGATTCAAAGTCCAGTTTCTGACATCATTTTGACTTAAATTGAGAGTGAATTTATTCCTCGACTTCCGATTTCGTGAATTAATTCATTTAATTTTGTAACCAATTATTCAAATAAACATTATTTAATCAATCGTTCAATAAAAACTATTAAAAATCTATTAAATTGTGTCTTAATATGCGATAACGTCCTCGAAGTCCAGCCATTATAACGGTACCAAACGCTTCTTCAGCGCCGCCAGCGATAGCGAGTCTACTCTACACTACCCACTGTTTGTTACGCTTCCAGGACGTCCACTTCAAGTACATCCAGGTATGGGTTGACTGTTATGACTGCTTTGATTTACGTACTGATTATGTGTTTGTCTGCACCGTTAGGCCGCCTGCAAAACGGGTCAAATCAAAGAAGTGGAGCGCATCTGTCGCGAGAGTAACTGTTATAACGCCGAACGCGTGAAGAACTTTCTAAAAGAGGCCAAACTCACGGATCAGTTGCCGCTAATCATTGTCTGCGATCGGTTTGACTCACTGGACTGACTTCTCATACTCCAAACCACAACCAAATTTATTTTAATATAAGATTCAATAGAAATGTTTTTATATTTAGTGTTATATTTAAATGCAATTCTTAATTATGTTTTAAACTTTACTTTAATAGCAATTTAATACAGAAATAAATATTTTATTAGTTTTAAAAATAATGATTTGTATATTTTATTAGCCATTAGTTTATAAATACTAAATCATAATAACTATTATTAATAGTCTATTAATATACTAACAGTCATTATAACTTTTATCAAAATCATTACATTTCCAGTGAATATCCCATTGAATAGCATTTAAAACGATTGCATAACTCGTGTCTCACTTTTAGGGCGTGTTTTCAGTGAACACTCAACACATAGACAGACAGTCAGTGAGTGTTTGTGTTTTGTTATGATTACGGCTTTTGTTGGCAAACATTTCGCTACGGATCAGTTGCCGCTAATCATTGTCTGCGATCGGTTTGACTTCGTCCACGACTTAGTGCTCTATCTCTACAGAAATAATCTGCAAAAATATATCGAGATTTACGTTCAAAAGGTAAACCATTTCTGGCATTACTTCTAAACGATTGGTTTTAATGAACGTTTGTTTTGATACGAACTACAGGTGAACCCATCGCGACTCCCAGTGGTTGTGGGCGGCCTACTGGACGTGGACTGCTCTGAGGACGTGATAAAGCAGTTAATAATGGTAGTGAGGGGTCAGTTCTCGACCGACGAACTGGTCGAAGAGGTGGAGAAGCGAAACCGACTGAAACTGCTGTTGCCGTGGCTGGAGATGCGTATCCACGAGGGTATCAACGAGTCGGCCACTCATAACGCGTTGGCAAAGATCTACATCGACTCCAACAACAATCCCGAGAGGTTTCTCAAAGAGAACCAGTTTTACGACAGCAAAGTGGTCGGCAAGTACTGCGAGAAGCGGGACCCACACCTGGCGTGTATGGCCTACGAGAGGGGGTCGTGCGATCTCGAGCTCATCAAAGTGTGTAATGAGAACTCGCTGTTTAAGAGTGAGGCCCGATATCTGGTCCGCCGCCGAGATCCCGATCTGTGGGTCGAAGTACTTCAAGAGTCGAATCCATTCCGGCGACAACTGATTGATCAGGTATTCCCTGAATTATAGTATATATATTGGGTATGTTTTGTGCTAACTTTCCACTCTTACAGGTTGTCCAAACAGCCCTTTCCGAGACTCAGGATCCCGAAGACATATCGGTGACAGTGAAGGCCTTCATGACCGCCGATCTGCCGAACGAGTTGATCGAACTGTTGGAGAAGATAGTGTTGGACTCCTCGGTGTTCAGCGATCACCGCAACCTCCAGAACCTGTTGATCCTGACGGCCATCAAAGCCGACCGCACGCGAGTCATGGAGTATATCAACCGACTCGACAATTACGACGCGCCCGACATCGCGAACATTAACACCCGCTCCCTGACCGCCAACTGGTGGGGCTCGTAGTCGCGCATCCCTTTGGCCGTCTTCAGCGTATAGGTGGTGGCGGTCTTCGCAGTCTTCACGGCCTTCTGCTTCATGTTTGCCGACATCCTTGCGATCCGTTTGAGTGATGCGCTGATTGTGGACCTAATTGTCACCGAAAACACGTGTTTTCACGACTAATATGTAAATAAATAATGTATTGAATAGTGGTTTACAAACACAACACGTGTTTCACTGCTCGGGAACCGATTGAACGCAACGCTACACAGCTTTGACTCAATTTAGGCCTGAATTACATCATTGACTCATTCAATGCGCGCAACCCTTACATACATTACGCGACCGATTTGTGGCGTGAATTTGGGCCAAAAAGAAAAAGTTTTCACAAAGTTTTTTGTGTCGATTGCGAGTGTGAAACGTATAATTTAGACTAATTTATTTGCCCCGGGTCATTGTGTGTGTTTACAATTATTTTGCTCTAAATTTGTGTTTTGTTTTGTTTGTCCACTCCTTTGTGCATTGATTTCAGGATTAATTGTGTGTTCATTATCGCTAATTAATAGCACTATTCATAGGCACAGGTATTGCATCAGATTGTTGTACTAAACACCTGTAATAAACACTTTTAATAAAAAATAAACTATATTTATATTACGCAACGAGAACATAGAACTTATTCATCCGGGATATTTTAACCTTGATACACTACCTTAGTAAAAAATCAAATTTAATTATTTGCCCACAAATCGTTCACAAAATTTAGAAAACTTCGGGTATACCTACAAAAAATTGTCAATAATTTTCAACTATCAAACTATAGGGAAAACAATTTGAAACAATTTGTAATACAATTATTTATTAAACATTTATTATCAATGAAAAATAAAAACATTAAAAATATATGGCATTCATATGCATTTCATTAAGAAAATTACAAAATAACTTCACATTTAGTGTTTAAAAATATAAGTTATTTTTGACATTTAAAAATTGTCTCATCAGTCAAACTCATTAATCGTGTTTTAAATAATTAAATAAATTATACAAATAAAAAAATCTCTAATTTGTTTGCATTATTCAAATACCATTAGAAATACAGTATTACTCAATGATTGCTATAATAACACAAACACTTCAATCAATGTCTGCATCGCTTCCACCGCTAAACAAATGACTGATTCATCACTCATTCAATTGGACGTAATTGGCGGGAAAGAGGCCTACCTTTCCCCGGCACCTACCCCTCCACCAGCCCTCGTCGATCATCTCTATATCGCTGATCACCTCTTCGGGATCGAAGGAGATCTCGTCGAAGTCGGCCGCCTCGTAGTCGTACAGCGCCGTAGCCGTCAGTCCAGACGCGGCTCCCGGCGCCGACCCGTTGTTGGCCGCAGGCGTCGTCTTCTTATCGCCGAAATCCTGTCTCTCGTCCTCCTCTTCCACCTCCGGTTCCTCCGATCGGTAAGTATTACTGCTTTTAATCACTTCCTGCGCGATGGCGCCGGTCAGGGGATGCGACTGACGGACCGACTCCTGCCGGGCCTCCCATTTAGAGTCGTCGCTCTCATGCGTCTCATACGACTGGACCGGGGGTTCGGGCGCTTTGGGCGACGCCGGCACCTGTGGTTCCATCTTAGGAAACACCGAAATACCGATTTTGTTCACACGAGGACTGGACACCGACTCTCTCGCCGGCGCCTCCTCTCTGTAACTGTCCCTCTGGCGCACCTCCACCTCCTGTTCCTCCTCGTTATCACTGCCACCCCTGCGCTCCCTCTCCAGCTTCAGCTTCTGCTGTCTGTCCTCTTCAGCCTTCTTCGCCGCCTCCTTCTCCTGCTGTTCCCTCTCTAAGCGACGGCTGCGCTCCTCATCGGCCCGTCGTTTCACTTCCGTCTCGTCCTGTTTCGCCATATTCTCGAACCGAGCCCTCAGACTATTGGCGCTCCCCTTGGAAACGGCCGGCTTATCCACACCGGCGCCGCTTCGTTGCCCTTTAGGCGGCGCCGCCGACTCCGGCGCCCAACTATGGGCCGACTTATCCACGCGGTCCGACTCGACGCCAAACTTGCCGCCGAAGCCGCGCGACCCGTCCGTCTGCGACGAGTGCTTCTCCGTTTTGGTCACTTCGTCCCACCCGTGCGCCCCCTTATCCACGCGATCCGATTGGACGCCGTATTTGCCGCCGAAGCCCTTCGAGTAGTCCGTCTGCGACTCGTGTTTGTCCACCTTTTCGTGGTGTTCCCAGCCAACGGCCGACGCGTCCACGCGATCCGATTGGACGCCGAATTTGCCGCCAAAACCCTTCGAGTGGTCTGCGATTTGAAGACATTTTTAAGTGATAATTGAGGCATAAAATGGTTAGCCATTAGCGGACACACCTTTTTGTGACTCGTGTTGCTGCAGCTTCTCGTGGTATTCCCAGCCGACCGCAGACTTGTCCACTCTGTCCGACTGGACACCGAATTTGCCGCCGAAGCCCACCGAATGGTCTGACAAACGGATCCATATTTTAGACATCTTTGAAACAAACAATCTCATGGACTATAAAGTGATACCTTTTTGTGACTCGTGTTGCTGTAGCTTCTCGTGATACTCCCACCCGACGGCCGACTGGTCCACCCTATCCTTCTGGACGCCAAACTTACCGCCGAAGCCCACTGAGTGGTCTGAAACAGGGGTTGTGACCGACAATCGGATTGTTATATGAAAAAAGCGCTCATTTATGGCACAAAAACGTGTTTTCCATACCTTTCTGTGAATCGTGTTGATTGAGTTTCTCCTTATAATCCCAACCGACGGCACTCTTATCCACGCGATCCGATTGGACACCGAATTTGCCCCCAAATCCCGATGAATGGTCTGCGCGTAGGGATCAGATCACAGATACAGTCAAACGCCAAATGACACACACATTGATGGTAAGGGGAGGGGATGGTAGGGTTGGTGTCAGTGATGGCATACCTTTCTGCGAGGCGTGAGCCGCGAGCTTCTCGTGGTATTCAAAGCCGACGGCACTCTTGTCCACGCGATCCGATTGGACGCCAAACGCACCGCCGAAGCCCTTCTTGGCGTCCGTCTGCGACTCGTGCGCCCAGTTCTGGCGTATGGTCTCGTCCTCGTGGGTCACGTTATCACGCAATTCAGCGATACTTATGGTCACAAACAGGAGATAATCAAAGAGATTAACAGCGAGACAATCGATGGTATGGTTGGGTGACTCACTCGATGGCGCCGGCCGTACGCCCGGTGCCGCCCCACCGTTGCTGCTGTTCAGTGACATCGTTCTGTTGGTGAAGACATGGATCAGTTGGCAGTGATATACGAATGGATTAGATGGTGGCAGCGATAAGACACTTACGACAAAGTCTGGATCCGTTTCCCAGTCGTCGTCCTCTTTGGACGACTGTCTGGCGTTTAAGCCATTGTTTTGCGAGGCGTGTGCTCTCCACGTGGCCATCGGTGGTCATGCGATGTGGTTGTGGTGATAATGTGAGACAACTTGCGGTTAAAGTGATGGTAAATAGTGTGCGAAATGTTTGCCAACAAAAGCCGTAATCATAACAAAACACAAACACTCACTGACTGTCTGTCTATGTGTTGAGTGTTCACTGAAAACACGCCCTAAAAGTGAGACACGAGTTATGCAATCGTTTTGAATGCTATTCAATGGGATATTCACTGGAAATGTAATGATTTTGATAAAAGTTATAATGACTGTCAGTATATTAATAGACTATTAATAATAGTTATTATGATTTAGTATTTATAAATTAATGGCTAATAAAATATACAAATCATTATTTTTAAAACTAATAAAATATTTATTTCTGTATTAAATTGCTATTAAATAAAGTTTAAAACATAATTAAGAATTGCATTTAAATATAACACTAAATATAAAAACAGTTTTCTATTGAATCTTATATTAAAATAAATTTGGCTGTGGTTTGGAGTACTCGAAGTCAGTTGAGTCCAGTAAGTGATGATTAGCGGCAACTGATCCGTCAGTTTCGCCTCTTTTAGAAAGTTCTTCACGCGTTCGGCGTTATAACAGTTACTCTCGCGACAGATGCGCTCCACTTCTTTGATTTGACCCGTTTTGCAGGCGGCCTACCGGTGCAGACAAACACACAATCAGTACGTAAATCAAAGCAGTCATAACAGTCAACGCATACCTGGATGTACTTGAAGTGGACGTCCGGGTCTTGACTGAAGTTGACGATAGAGCCCAAGAAGTAGAAGAGCCCTTCGTATGACTTAAACGACTCGAACAGTTCGATGAGGGAAGTGGTGGACAGTTGTTCGTGATATTTGGTGGCCACCTGTACGCAGATCTGCAGATTCTGACGGATATTATTGGTCAGCATTTGCTTCAGACACTCAATGGAGTCGTCCACCGATAGGGACCCGAAGTAATTGACGAGCCATTCGGGGTTCAGGAGATGGGTGTGCACTATAGCCCTCTTAATATCGTACAAATCAGTGTAGTGTTCGAGCGCTCGCTGTAAAAGGCCAGCCTTTTCGCACAGTTGGGCGACGTGTGCCCTATCGTAATGTGTGAACATTTGGTTGCCAAGTATGGCGTCGGCCACTTGCGGGGCAGTCATCAGATTCATCTCCAGGAGCCGAGTCTGGAGGGGACCCTCTGTGGGCCTGTTATTCTTGAGGGCGTCCAACAGGAAGGCGGTGCAGGGTTGCACCAGATTGGACTCCATGAACACGTCCACAATCTGGTTGATCTCAGCTAACGGTTCCTCGTCGGCCACCAACATCTGTGCAAAGCCTGCGCCCTGGTCTGGGTTTGTGCGCATCACCTGTCGGAGTAGACTCACGTAATCGGCAGAATAGCCCACTTTCTTGGCGTACAGAACAATCTTCTGGAACTGTCCCGTCTCTGCGAAACATTGGATCACTTTATTGGGAACGTTAGCTCTCAGGTAGACCGACAGCGCGAGGGTCGGGTCCACCGACTTCACCAAATCGCCCAACTCTTCACTGCACTCGAGTTTGTCGTCTTTCAACCACTTCTCGAGCAGTTGTTTGCGGTTTTGTTGGAGGACTGGTCGACACAACTCCAGCGACTCGTACTTATTGAGCTGACCCTGATCTAAGAGAATGCCGAAGTACTGCAACAGTGGGGACGTCTGTCCGGCCTGAGTGGGCACCTGTTGGAAGCGTTGGATGGTTTGCGGCGTTCGGAGTATACCTTTGGGTGCATTCGCCGCCACTTTCGCCGCCTCGGCGTACGAGCCGTTCGTGAATAATGTGTTGAATTTGCGGACAAACAGGTCGTCAGCACCGGTCAGGTTATTGCGGGCGGCGATCCTGAAGGCCAGGTCCGGGTTTTGGAGTGTTGTTGTAATGTATGGAATGAGGTTCTCCTCCTCAACGCTCACAGAGAGCACCTGTAGTTCACACAGACATCGGTTACAAACTATCATAAATACAGCTAAAGTGACGTCAAATACCTGTCCCTTGCGGTTGACGCCAATGATACCACTGGTCAGGTCGTAGGGCGCGGTCACAAAGATGGTGTCGGCGCTGATTCGGTTCATGTAGATACAGGTGCCGGTCTCCACGTCGTAGAGATGGATATAACCGTATTTCGTGATCAGGTAAACGATGTCATACTTGGGCGACATCTGCATCGCTACNTCACAAAGATGGTGTCGGCGCTGATTCGGTTCATGTAGATACAGGTGCCGGTCTCCACGTCGTAGAGATGGATATAACCGTATTTCGTGATCAGGTAAACGATGTCATACTTGGGCGACATCTGCATCGCTACGGGAAAGTCGTTCTGTGCTTCGGGCGGGAAGAACACGTCCACCGCTTTCTTAGAGTACGGCTGATTCCCGGTCGCAGGCGTTCCCACTTCGATGACATGCAACTGTGGAGGGAAAGGGAGTGTTAGTCAAGCCATTAAAAACACAATGAGAGGCACCCATACCTTTCCGCCGGCTTGTGTTCGGGCGGCGAAGCAGAAAAGGGTGGACTGTTCGGGATTTCCCTCGCATTTGAATTGAGTGAACGCCGCCGCGTGGCCTTCGATGGGTTGGCTAACCTTCCGCTCCACGGAATATAACTGCATCGCACCCACCACTCGGTTTTGCTATGAGTTCCCAATCAAAAAAAGACAATACATTAGTCCAACCATTGCTCGCGCGCACCACTACTATAAGGCCCACAGACATCATCGCTTACCTGAGCGGAGATCCCAATCAACAGCAACCACTTCAGGGAATGATCGCACCGGTAGTTAATTATTTGACAGCCGTTGAGCGACGTGTGTCTGTCGAACATCTTCGCGGGCAAAGAGTCCCCTTCCATAGACCAGTGAAACACTGCGGTCTCCGTCACCAATGCTATGGTATTGACGTTAATCCACTTCCAGAAGACGACGTCCTCATTGATGGTGTGGGCCTTCATCTTAGACTTCATCTCAATGTTGAATATCTGAAGCGTTCGCATCGCTATTGGATCCCAAATACAGACAACAAGTAATGGTTTAATGGGTTATCATTAGAGCTATTGGTTATCAAGTCGTGCCGATTGTCATCGACTCGAGTCATCTACTATTCAATGGTATACTTCTTGGCGTACCTTTCAATGCGATGACTTTGGTCTGTGGGTTCATAATAGCGGAGTCGGCGCTTATGGGCCGTCGGATCGGTGTCTGACTGTTGGCCATATCGATNGAGTCATCTACTATTCAATGGTATACTTCTTGGCGTACCTTTCAATGCGATGACTTTGGTCTGTGGGTTCATAATAGCGGAGTCGGCGCTTATGGGCCGTCGGATCGGTGTCTGACTGTTGGCCATATCGATGATGACTACCTGTGCCGAGTCGCCCACCTTCTCGCGGACACAGATATATTTGTCGGACTCCATGGTTAGGGTATTAAAGCTGATATTCGCAGCATTGATACCGATGGCCGTGAGCTGTGATCACAGACAGTGGTGATGGACAGGGATGTGTCAGCATTATAGTGGACAGGGATGACACGCATTACATACACATCGAGAGACAGGGAGGCGGAGAGAAATAGTAAGTTATATTAGTTATCGATTGAATCAATTAGGGATACGTTAGACACGAGTGTCAACGACAGTGACACTCAGTATAAGACACCAAATCCGCCCACATTTGGGACCAATTGGTGGCTAACAAGACATATGAGCGGATGAATGGATGGTATACCTGGAGGTGCTCTTGAAATCTGATGGGCAGTATCTGCGCCATTGTCGCCGTTGTCTGCTAGTCGTTCACTGAATTGGTGGTCACTCTTATGTCAACGACACGGATGTGATTGAAGTTATGATCAGTTTTGTAGCGAAATAGTGACTGAAAGGCAATGCTATGAGAGACTAATCAATACAATAGCAGTCACTGAATGCTATGCATTGAATGACTTGTGTTTTAAAAGTGCAGTCAATGTATGGGAAACGCCGACAGAAAGCCTATTCAATAGGTCTCCCAATCAAGTCGCCAACACCTCTACACCTATGCCTATGAAGTGACTCACGTATTGAAATACGTTCAGAATAAACGTTACGTTGAGCGTGGGTGTGGTGTGCGAGGGGGCAGTGTATTGTGTGGGGGGTTTCTATGTAAATTATATGTAATGAATTTGCGAGGGATTTGTGTGAGTGGCATGTCTTATATAAACAATTTTATTTAGACAGCTTTCAAACGCTGAGTTCAATACAAAACTTATGAATGAATGCGTGAAATAGTTTTCAGTGCGAAATAGACACAACTCATCGCATAAACTCCTCATTAATTACTCATTAAAATGGTTTATAGGGAATGAGAGTAGAGTTGAGCCCTTTTCACGCATAAAACCAAATGCCTTTCCAACTCACTGTCAAATACTGTCAGACAGTGTCGACCTCTATTACCAGTCCCGGGGGTCTATAACCTGTGACTCCCCCCGGAAAACACCCCTCTATTACAGCGCCCCCTATTGGATGACAACTGAAATACTTGTCACTCGTTTGGCGCTTAAACTCAAAACCAAAACAACAAACTCTTGTTGAGATCACCGCAACTGATCCCAAGACCACACATAAGATTATAGGAGATTATCACCGAAATGGCTAATTGTGTGGATACTCTGGAAGCGGTCGTAAGTATTAGTAATCCCTAAGAGTTTATATTTTACCACTAACTCGTGTCACGTTACCACCGATGGTGCCATCGATTGTCTTATCATTTGCGGTGATGTCTGCGTGTCTGGCGATCAGTTGGGAAGCGTTGACTGCAAACTGGACTCAATTCTGTACCAATTGGAGCACAAGTTGTGCCAAATCGAGACACCCGATGGCGGCGATGGCCAACCGATTGTCATGAGTTGCTCGCAGATGATCACCGACTTGAAGGACATCCAGCGCGACGTCCAAGCGATCCGTTCGCAGCGCAAAGAGCTACAGGAGCTCGAGAAGCAGCTGTCGGACCAGTTGTGGCACAAGTGTAAGGGTGTGGAGAAGGATGTGCTGAAACTGAAGCGAACCGTGAATTACGAGTAGTTTTTGTGATTCAATGAATGCTTTTTGATTACAATTTACTAATTGTTTACTTAAAGTGTATTTATATTTATATAACAAATGCCTACAAATGAGTATTTAACGAGTTTTTTAATTCAATTTTGAATGAAATGTATTTTTAATCTGTCGTAAAATGTGTGAACATATGAATCCAAAAAACCAGTGTTTGAATGAAATGTACGGTAAAAACAATTTGTAAATTTAATTACAATTAAAAATAGGTTTTTCTATCAATTCGTTTATACATTGAATAATACAATACACCGAGAAATACATATTCAACGCTATTATAAACACTGTGTGCACCGAAAAAACTGTCAAAAATAGTTGTCTTTTTGCGGTCATAACTACTAAACAAATCACTAATTGATCCGAAAATTGGTTGACTATTCAAATGGTTTATGAAATATATCTCAAGAAAAGTAATCGAAAAAATGGTTTCGATGTCTGACAACAAGAAACAATACTAACGAAACATATGAATGTATTTCTCTGTCAACACTATTATCTCGTTTTGTGATCAATTGATGTCGACCTCCCAGTCCGCCGGCTCTTCAAACAGCTTTGGCTTATGTTTAGACACATTTGGAGTGACTTTCTCAGCGGCGGGACTCTTGGCGTCAATCACTTTCGACTTCTTGTATGGGTTAGCGTTGGGCGTCTGCGGCGATGCCCTCGACTTGGCGTTGCGTTTCAGACCGTCTCTCACGTCGTCGGCGACCGCGGATGTAGGCGTCGACGACGACGACGATGACTGCGCCGACTGTTTGGCCACAAACTCCTTATATGAGATCACTTTATACGTGCTGTTAGTCGACGTCGTCTTTAGCAACGATTTGCGGATTTTGTCCGCATTTGACGGGTCTTTGAGAGCGCACAGAGCGCTCGTCTCGTTGACCCAACCGATGGCGACGCCGCCGAACGCCGAGAACAAGTGGAACAACTCGTTGGTCTTCCACTCCTTGGGGAACGTCACGTGAAACACGTGGTCCCGATTGGGCACCGGCTCGTCCGCCTCCAGATTGAAGTGATGGATGTCGTGGCTGTATGTGAGGAACAGTTTGTTCTGATAGTCGCCGAGCAGTATGGCATCAAATCGGGTGACTTTCGGGTCGACTAATGAGCCTAAATAGTGGACTAATCCGACGAAACAAACGCCAGTGACGTACGAGTCATAGCCGGCCTCGTGAAGAGCCTTTCCGTCGCAGTGTTTGCCATTCTTGAGCTCAACATCTATTGTCTTGAATGGCGATGTCTTTAGTCTTTCGTGTAGATCTCCTAATGCTATAGAAGTGATTGGAAAATAGTTTTTAAATCCAGTTATCTGTGAGACAATTCAGTCTTTAGCGCATAAATACCAGTGTTTTCGAGTTTGTCTTTGAATACCGGCGCGGAAGCGATGTGTTTGGTATCATAAACGATGGGAAATATGGCGTGAATTAAGTTCCTGAATGTCTTGTAGTCGTTGGGAAGCGGTTCAATGAATTGGTTGAATGTGTGCATCAGATCCAGCAGAACGTTGTGCCCGATGATAGGCTTCTGGTATTTGATCAACAGTTGGATAATCTTCGAGAAACCTATGGCTTCGGTCAGCGACTCCTCGTCTTTGCGCTCTTTCACGAGTTTATCCACTTTACTGACCGACACATACCTATCACTCGAGTTCTGGGACACCATCACAGTCTTCATCTCCACGGAATCGTTGAAGTCTTGACTCTTCAGCGACTCGTAGATCAGTCGTCGTTTAAAGGCATTACATGGACTCAAATCAATGGTCTCTCGCGACTCGTCGGCCATGAATTCGCGCACTTTTACCACAATTTCGTCGACAAAGCGCTTGTCTTCGTCGGTGAGCGCCGACACCGCCGGCGAAGACTTGCCGCCAGTGGTGGACGAGTTGGCGGCCGCCGACTCCGCGTTGGCCTTCTTCTGAGCCTCGATGGCCTCAACGCACAGCTTCTCCTCCGCGTCGTTCAGATAAGAGATGCCATCGATTATCAGTTTATTGAAGTCGAAGCCATTGGACGCCAAGAACTGGAGGGACGACGTCTGGACACTGAACACCCGGTCGCCCATCGCTTTGTTGATTCCCGAAGACTTTTGCGGGAATATGTAGAAGTTGTACGAATGGCACGCGTAGTGGTGGCCATCGGCGGTGTCGTTGGGAACCGCTTGGAAACACGTCAACCCGAACTGGATTAGACTGAAGCCGGCGATCGATTGCTTGAGTTTGGCGTATCGCTCGTCAGCGGTGTCCAACAGTTGCATACCCTTCGTGTCCAGACGTCTTAAGCCACTCAACTCGGTGTCAATGGTGGCGAAGTCGGCGGCGCTGATGATGGCCTCGATCTCGCGCAGCGTCTCCAAGAAGTTGTGTCGCGTCACGTCCATCGAGGTCTTACGGTTGCCCACCGGTGGCTGTCTAATGGTCACGACTGGATTGGTGGTGGTGTTGGTGGCGGTGGTGGCGATGTCTTTCGCACAGGTCCTGTCAATGCATTTGTGGTAAACACATGTGAGTAGTCGTGAAAACACTGAACCCATCACTCAATACATCAATAATACAATGAATTCAATGCTTAGTCTTATGTCTGTATTCACGTCATTCACATAGCGTTGGGTTTGCGGTCATATTAGCCGTGCATTCAGTGGACGTTATAATCAGTGGTGAGGTTTGTGGCGATAAATATAGATATAGTTTTGTTTGAAGATTATATTTACGATTTTTAATTAATAACTCGTTTGTCTGGATGTGTTTGATGAGTGCACAGAGAAAACACTTTTGCAATGCTTTGAAAAGTTTTATTTATTACAGTACTCTTGCATTGAAACATGTTTTTAGACATCAATTATACTTGTTTTCGCTGCAAATGAAACTTTTTTAACATTAGTTTTTTGGGATCAATGATTAAAATTTATATGAAGTTTCGTTATTAACTGTTTTTTATTATCAGTGTTTTTGTGGTATTCATTCAATGCCTTTTTCGTGTAGTTTACAGTGAATTAAACAAATTGTTTGCTATTTAGTAGTTATATATTGTTATACTTTTTAGTGGAGGAAAACTTTTTCATGAAATCTGTGGATCTGATAATTGGGATCAAAGTCTTTTCCAGATGGAAATGAACTTATAATATATGGAAAAGTTGTCAACAATTCTATCATTAGAGTTATCGTAAGTTTTTTTTGATGATATCTACAATTATTTTATGTTAAACTCCATATACGCCCACCCCTTATAACTTTAACTTTTAATAAAATTTATTTATTAAATAGCAATTATTTATTGAAAATTATATTCACTTTATTTCAATTAATAGTGTTGTTAAGTATTTATCACAAACTTTGAATCAAAACACTTCTCTTATAAGTAAATTCAATTCATGCGACACTCAGTCACATGAGAGTTAGGAAAAACTTCTGGGTTTTTTAAGTCTCGATTAATATACTGTTTTTAAATAAATATATCAAAAATATAAATTAATTTACATATAATTATACAAATTAAATAACAAAAAAAATATAACAAAAAACAATACTTTCAATGATTAGACAGCGAATTGAAAGACTAGATACTGATTGACAGTAAACTCATTCATCGATGTCCTGCTGTTTGGCGAAATCGATGAAAATCTGTTCAATGGTTTTCTGACTGAAGCTGTACTCCTCGATCTCTGGCGTCGATTGTCTCAACCCCTCGAGAAACCCGAATATCTTCGACAACGACTTCACCGACTGTTGCGGGACATCGAAAATGAGTCGATTATTGTACTCCTCTTTGGCCACCAAATGCACAAAAAACGATTCAATCGTTTGCTTCAGTTTGGGCCCAAAGTTGGCGTCACTGCCGGCGCCGTGCGTCCACTTGATCTCCAGCATATAGCCGGCGCCGTACTTATTCTTGAGGTGTTGCAGTGAGCCCACACACCTCATGACACCCTTGATCATAATGCCGAGTCGGGTGCACAGGGCGTCCGCCTCCTCCATCGAGTGGGTGGTCAACACTGCCGACCGGTTTGTGTTGCGTTCAAAGGCTGACAGAATGGTCTTCCATAGGAATCGTTTGGCTGTGGATTCGGGCAATGAATTAATTTCTATTTGTGTGCAAATTCTTGACAGAATATTCTTGAATTACAAACCTTTTGGATCCATTCCAGTGGACGGCTCGTCCAGTAAGACCAGATTGGATCGACCCAACAGTGCCATCAAATAGCATAACTGTTTAGTGTATTAAATCATTATAAATGTAATCCAGTTCAATTTCATTAAAGATATAGCAATAAAGCTACAGTTGATTGTCACATACTTTCCGTTTGGTTCCTCCGGACAACTCTTGACTCTTCTTATCCTTGTGTTCAGTAATTCTCATGTTTTCGATATAACTATACATTTAAACCAATGATAAATAAAACATTTCATGTTTACAGAGATTCTTATAACAAACTTCTCGCAAATCCTTTGGATCCGATCGTCGGGAATACCACGAATAGCTGCGATCAGACTCATGTGCTCTTTGACGGTAATCTCCTTCCAGAGGGCGTCGTGTTGTGGACAATAACCAATCAATTTGAACACATCCGAGTCGGAAGCTTTCACTTTGTGGCCACTGATCATAAAGTTTCCGGCGGTTTGTATCTCTTCGCAAATCATTATCTTCATTGTCGTCGTCTTCCCGGCGCCGTTGGGTCCCAGGAGTCCGAATATATGACCCGATTCTAGCAGTAGACTCATGTTCTGGACGGCAGTCTTCGCCGGTTTCTTATTCTTCTTAAAGCAATCAAAGAGATTAGTCTCCGAGTACTTCTTATGCAATTCGTTCAGTAAGACAATCGGTGTCTGAATTGAGATAATAGTTATCAAACAATAAGTTTTATTACAGAATATTCTGTGAAAACTAACTCTCTCTTGAAAGCCATTGTGTAAGTACTGCTGGACATCAGCCCTCTCTTGTCGCACGTCTTCGTCCTCGAGTTCAGAGGGAATTGATGTGATGTTTGTCTTCGAGCCGTCGAAACCCAATGAACTCATTATACTTTCGCCGGATTTTAGTTTATCCACAATTAGTAACAATATTGAGTAGAATATCATATGGAATATCAACTGAAAAAACATTAAAAATACTTATGAGTAAACAATATTCTTTACAAAATTAAAAGAATATTCTTGTAATTACAGCAATAAAACAAATGTCAATATTTTGATTCCAATCGAAATACGAGATATTTTTGATGCCAATGTCCGCCACGGATGAGATCTTAATTAAATTGGATGTCTGTAATGGATAATAAAATTTTATGTCATATTAAAAGTCTTAATCAAAAGTAAACAAGTACAAAATTACTTACTACTGAAATGTATAGGAGGGCCCCTTGAGGTATATAGAAGGGGGTTAGGAAGCAAAATATGTAATGTAATAGTTTGGCAGTGTCTGCATTATTGGGCGATACTAGTGCCACGACCATAATCAGAACCATACCCGGCTGTAATTAAATCAATAATTAATAATCAAGCAACTAATTAGACCAATGCTAGAGTGAATACCAAATAGCAGAGAATGGTTAGGACACCCCTCGCGGTCTCTTTTTTGTTGAACATATGGGTCCACACGTAACAAGTGATGAGAGATGAGGGCATAAATAGGATGAATAGTATAAATACACAGACCCTGGCCTCGGAATTCTGGAGGAACTCTATGTTCAGTACGAATACTGTGACTATTAGTATCAGAAGTACGGATATGGCAAACATAATCAGATGACAGACTAATGTTGTGAACCAATACTGTTTAAGAGTTAAACCACAAACTCGTAATAAATTCTTGACTTTTGACTGAAATTAACAAAAATTAATCAATTATTTCATAACTACGGTAATTGTTTTTTCATGAATATAATTATAATTACTTCTCTGTCTTCTACTACTTCGACGGCAATCGTCGGAGGAATGCCTCCCAGTATTACAGCCATTAGTAAGACATATGTAAACAGTTTGGGATCAAATGAATACAGAACTGATTCCTCGTCTGTTTGAGGGAATGGATGGTTATATGTATTGATTGTGCTTTTAATTGGTTCCACAGATGGGTGAATATTAGATAAATTGTAAAAATAATTTGTCATTAAATTCTGTAATATAGGCAACGAATGAATGTATGTGTCGTTGAATAAAAAGTTTCTAAAACTTGTTGTCATATTGACGGCCATAAAGCTATTAGCCGTCGATTTAATACTGAATTTATCCACTGATTTAGCATTTGCTCCCAATGTGTCTACA